AGCTGGCCAGAGGTGAAGTAAGCCCATTAACAAAGAAAAAAGAGAAAGATTTGACCCCGCAAGTAAATTGTTTGGGAAGTGCCTAAGGTAATGGAGTTCCTAGGTACTATAGACTAAAAATGATAAATGAGCCAGCTCTCATCTGGGTGATATAGCATGGCTCCATCAAAATTAATGTAGCTCATTAATAAAACAATGTTTGTGCCTCAGATGTCTCTCCTGCATTGTGATTTTAATGGATTTGGGGAGCCCAGCTTTAACAATCTAAAATCAGAATTTCATTAGTAAAATCCTAAAAAAGGAGACTAAAGAGAATTCATTTACTGTGATGTATTTTATGTCATGCCTTCAAGTGGCCTAATAAATAAGATTTCTAAATATAATTTCATTCCCGTTAATGGCAAGATATTGCAAAGATTAAAGCAATATATTTAAGCATATTTTGCATTTGAGCTGTACCTCTGGCCATGTGAATACTCAACTAGTGAAGGCAGCAGTGGCCTCAGACAGCCAAGGCGTTCCCAGGTAGCTGGCAGGGTAAAACATGCTTTTGGTTTTTGGTGTCATCCGTGGTAAGGATGTACATCACGGGAAAGCAACGCAAACACAGAATCACAGAATGGTTTAGGTTGGAAGGGACCTTCCAAGATTATCCAGTTTCAACCCCCTGCCACAGGCAGGGATACCTTCCACCATATCAGGTTGCTCAAAGCCCCATTCAGCCTAGTCTTGAGCACTGCCAGGGATGTGAATACATCATACGTCGTATGTTCAGGTATGGAATTTTGGAAAGTCATTTGGGTATCTTGCAGAAATGGTATGTGGAATCTCAATCCAAGCGCACCTCATTGTCAAGTATGCTCAGGAAGCATCACTGCAGCTCTCACTGCCTTACGGCCTGCTGTACAACGAAGCCATACCCTTCACTTTTAGGGAACTGATCTTTGTTACATTGCTTCCAACCATGCTACCTCACCAAAGCATTATAAAATGCACTGAACATACATGGCATAGTGGTGTTGCACTGTAGTCATTTGGTTGTGTTCCCATACTGTGGAATGTACAACTAGAATAGCACATGTAGTATATACACACCTGGAATTGCAGAAGCTGTCACAGCAACCACACAGCTGTAACAGCAACCCACAGTGCAAAACCAGTTTTTGCCAACAGTATCACACAGTAACAGTAAAAACAAGAGGAGTCCTCCTGGCACACCATCACCAGAGCTTCACCACTCCTCACGCACAGTAACAGACTGCTCAAAAATACCATTCAATTGCAATATCATAGGATGCAGCTCTGCAGCCCACAGAGCCATGGGTAGTCCCACTCACCTCAGAGACAGACCCTCCATGCATGTAAAAGCTGTTCACTCCAATAAGGGTCTCCGGGCTGGCTGGCTCCAACAGTCAGCCCCATCACTGGCAGTGCTGCTGTCACAAGACCCATTGTCTGCCAGGGATTTACCCCACTCATCAGCCCCGGTACCAAAGGAATGGTGCACATCCAGAACATGCTCTGCAGAGAACTAAGTCAGTCCCTTAATGAGGTGGCTTCGGAGCATGAAAACCAGCTGAAGAACAGAGTGTGCCAGGGTTCCAGTCCTGTGCTGTATGAAACTAGACAGAGCGCATCACATGGCCTTGCACCCCAGAACATGACAACACCTGAAATGGTCCTACTTATATCAGCACAATGTAATTCAGCAGGTACTAGAAAGTATGAGGTGCACAGAATTGGTATCCAAATAGAAAGAACTCAAGAGCATCCAGTTAAATATTCCCCAGTAATTACACACCCCCACAGATGATAAGGATTTTGTTTTCTGGATTTAAAAGAATTGCAGAATCAGATTCACAAGTTCTGCTAACAAAGTTGTTTATCCTGTTCACTGCAAAACTGAAAGGATTAAATAGAATGAGTTAAGCTATTTACCTGTTATGAATAGGTCCTCTGAACTTCGGGCCTTTACTGAGCTGGTTATGGTGAGAAAACCTGTGCAGATGTTCATCTGATCAACAAGGGCACATCAGGTCCTCGGGACGAATACCTCTGAGGACAGGCAGGGCTTGAAGGCTGGCAGGTATGTGTTGCACTCATGCTGATAAATAAAACTGAGCTGGTGGAAAGCAGCAGGAGCATCTCCATTCTCCCGGCCAGGCGGCTGGTCCAGCCTGCTCATCCTTCCTGGCAGCCCGGCGTTGCCTTGTGCAGGGGTGCAACAGGGGGAACTCACCTTTGGCAAAGAGCCACCGTGCAGGACAAGGAAAGCAACTCCTGGTAGAGCTGCCTCCTCACAGCCATCGTACTCGGAGCAGACTGCTGTCCTTCCAGGTTGCAGGAGAGGAAAGGGAGCATGTTCAGTACGTGCCAGGGAATCTGTTATCGCTGCCACATGCAGCTCTGCAGCGGGGAATGCGGAGAGGCCATGCTTAAGGCTGCATGTCACAATCTGCCACTCTTGCCCAGCCTACCCTGCTCATGAGGGCTAGTATTCTGACTCCTGGACAGGTATGAGTTCTGTGTCCAGAGCATAAACAAATATTTGTTCTGAATGTTTTTTCTGTAAACCCAGCTATAAACCCCGTGTGTTCCTCCCACTGCAGCTTTTTCCCACTGCCTCCACAAAAGCAGCTGCAGGAGTGCATCCCTTCCCCACCTCTACCCATAGCAATGTTAAATCTGCCTTTTAAAAACTGAACTGCATCATGGGGCTGTCTAGTTTTTTGGCTTCACTGATTGCAAGGTGCAACATTGCTCCTTTGAAATGCAGAGCATGATCCTATGACTCCTGCACCACCACCCCTAAAAACCAGAACCAGGAATGCAGGTTTGGTGGGTTTAGCGATTTCGACCGATGCTCTCCCAGATCCTCAGAAATCCGCAGGGAAGCAGTGCTGTACCGGAGGGGGTTCTCTGGGTCCAAAGGTCAGCTCCTGCATGAAGCTGCTGTTGCCCACCCTGCTCGTGGCAGGCTGTGGCCAGACCCATGATCATCAGGAGGGTGATGCCAGTTTTGTCTTTTTGTTTCATGTTTCCCTTTCTTTTTCATGCTGAGCTTCCCAAGCTGCAGAAGGCTCCACTCTGACAGCACCAGCCCACACAAGTTTGGAGAGGTTGCGACTCTGCATAAATAGATATTATCACCCCACATTCACCCATGCAGATTGTTTTGGTCATTTTGGAAGCAGAATTAGACCAAAGATCTATAAATAGATCTTTTTTCCTGCCTCCACAAAGTTTCAACTTAAACCAACTCTTCTTTGGTATTCTCATGTCAGTGATGATCTCAGCAGGCGCTGGCTATTGCCGTGATGAAATTTGTCACTGGGTAGAATGAAACATGGAGGAAAAATGCTCCTGGAAGACAGGTATCTTTACAAATGACAGAATATTTATTACCAATACCTTTAAAAAAAGATTACATCTGCTAGATCACTGATAAATATCATTTACACTGGGGAGAAAACTACAGAAGCTTCTTTTTTTGTTCCGTTTTTCTTGGTTTTGTAGTTTTTTTCTGGTTTTTTCTTATTTTTCTTTTTACATAGAAGTAACCATATCAAACTAAGAAAGGAACACAGCTTGAAATACTGACAATATTTCTCTGGTCAACACCCCTGACTTTTACACAAGTGGAATCCTGATTATGAGTTACTGAATAAATATATTTAGAAGGTCTAAAAGTTAACTGTATTATTTTGTAAGCAAAAGAGACAAGTTACAGGCAAATTCAAGCTATCAGGAAAAAAAAATAATAATATACCACTGCAGCGCATTTAAACTTGAAAATTTTATAGAAAATTCCATTGCCTTTTACTAGCGTTATCCCATCTGAGTGAACTTACAAAATTCCCCATAGTAACAAACAGTCCTTCTGTTAAGAAGAATTATTTTGCTGTGGATATTGTCGTTTTCCGGCATGACTCTATTTTGCCTCAGGTGCCTATGAAGAGTTTTCATAAGGAAACACAGACTTCTTAGGAGAGAACTACCAGAGATCCCACCTTCCTGTGGACAACCCACACCTCCTTGAAGCATGGCACAGCTCCTCTGAGGCTTCTGGTCCAGACCGGACTTCCAAAGAGTTTTCTACACGGTGGCGTATGAAGGATGATGAGTTGTGTTCCAATGCACGTGGAAAGCAGCGTGTGTTCAGACAACAAGCCCAGGGCAGCTTTACATCTCAGAGGTGCTGTATCCTGATTTCCTTGGAATAAAATCCCCCAAAGCAAGGTGGACTTCACTGGCTTTACACCCAAAGGTGAGAACCATGTCGTTGGCTCACTCCTTCAGGTTCCTTTTAGTCACTAGAGGCAGAGATCGCATCTTTGCAGTATCTTTCATTCCTACCCAATTTAATGCTACTCATGATAAAGACAAAGCTATTTCAAGACAGTAAAATGGACCTTTGCTGCACCATGCCAGAATATTAGCTACATGTCCTGTAGTCCACAAACAACCAAATTTCATGTATTTTTTCAAGATTATAGCATTCTTACTATTTTGAGTTTGTCTTGCTTAGACCTCTGAATAAAATATAACATCTTGTGTGTTACAAGCACTTGATTTAACACAAGACTCATCATAATTGCCAGTTAACTACAGCTGCATTACAAACACAATCTGGAACAGTTCTGCCTTGTGTAGCCTTGTAAAACTGTACAGTAAAGTTGCAGCCAATTTACTATGAACAACTTTGAACTCTCCATCAGAAAGGAAAAAATTCCAAACAATATTTCCATGGTTATGTCGTCCATAGCATTTTATAGCAGAGGAAAAATTAATATCTACATCATATGTTAACTTTAAAAAATTCTATAAAACACTAAATATATAATAAAAAATATGCATATAAGGACATATGTAAACTGCTTTGGTAACATCATATTACAGATGTTTTCAGTGCATTGCAGAGTTTCCAAGGAAACTTCAGACAAAGCTATATTTGCTTTGAGGAAGTACTGTATAATGCCATTCCTAAAGAAGCATAAACATTTTTCCAGTAGTAAGATGTACTCAAACCACAATATTACTTAGTACTGGGTGTCTTCAAAACAACTAGCTAAATGTTGCTTATATTATAAACGAGAAGTCCTTTATGTAATTTTTGTCATAAACTGGACCGAGCTGTGAGCGATATCATTATCGTGCTGATGGCTGACAGTGTGCAGGCATTGGAGGTGGATGAGCCGGATCCTCTCGCGTATGCATCTGAGCAAAGGAGAGAGGGGGAGAAAATGAGCCAGCATTGACAAGAGCAGCCCTCATTAACCCCAACCCCAAGAGCTTAATTCTGGCTCCTCCAAGGAAGCGTGGTGGTGGCTGGAAGGTCAGATCCCACATAACCTCCTGTTCACTGCACTTCACCTCTCTAACTGATTTTGTCATTGAACTCAAATTGCTGCTGCTGTTGTGTTGAGGCTACTCTCACAATCATATTACTTTGGGGCCTGTTTACTTATTATTTTATTTTTCTTACAATTGGACTATATTCAAGCTGTTCCTTATGGCACCAGCCTGGCGCGATCCACATCCCGGAGGAGCTGTGTACCTGTGCCCACTGTGCTGAGCCAAATAGGAACTGGCATGTGTTCCTCCTCTCCTCCACTCTCCTGCGTCTGCTGATTAAATTCCTCTGTATGGTTTATATAGCCACAGTGTACAACCACGGTGGAGAGAATTCTGATCTCGCCCAGGGTTTTTTACATTGCTGTAATTTTAATGCCATATTCCTGCATTGCAGAGGCTCCTGATTTAATGCAGCTTATAAACTGTGGCATTATTAATGGAAGATGGGACATGGAGATTTTGCAAAAGCAATGTTGTGTAATAAAATACTCTCTTTCCTGTTTGTTCTTCTACACAACCTCATTTCCCTAAATACATATTTATGTATCCAGCACACAATGGAATATAATACAGTAGCCTTATAAATTTAAAACCTCTGAACACTGCATTTGATATTTTGTTACAGTGAATTGCAGTGAAACAATATATTCTACACAGATATGAGTAGGGAAGTAAGAGAGTGAAAAGTGTCTAGAAATCTTAAATACAAATATAACTACTTCTGATGGTGTTTCTTACAGTTTAATCTTGACTCAGGAAGAAATCAGAAACATGGGCCAGAGTGACTATTGGTCCCAGGTAAGCCTGGGTTTCAGCTCCCTGCCTGGAAGCTTCAAGACTCTGGTTCATCCTGCTTGTAAGTGAGAACAGTGACGAGGTGAAACAGGTCTGCCCCAACAGCGGGAACAGAGGGGCTGGGGATGCTGAAGCACGTGCAAGACCCTGGTTCCTCCCATCCTTACTTGATATCTTTGGAATTCGGATTTGTTCACTGCTGCTGCCGTCTCCCCCATCGCTGAACGGCTTTATCTCTATGATGTAGTCCTCGTCAAACGGCAGCGAGAGCTCCACAGAGGTTTTATTCGTTTCTATTACAGATGTGCTGCTCTGCCTGTTCCACCTGTACAAAACCTGCAGTGAAGAGGAGAGAGAAAAGGGGGCAGAAATGGCAGAGATGCCCATTGCCCCAAGGTCATCCAGATCTGCTGCTTCTCTTTCCTGCCTCTGATGCTTAGACACATGGTCTGGTCTCAGAGGGGATACAGGGTTTTTGCTGGGGACCCAGTATAGTGGTGACAGTGCCTTGGGTGGGAAGGTGTCACTGGGAGGAGGGTGATGCTGATGTGCAGTACCGAACAGCACAGGTACTTGGGGGAGCACCTCGGTGAAATCTTCAGCTTCAAGCTAAAACAAATCCCAAGGCTTATTTATAGAGGTCAGAAACTTCTTACTATGTTTCTTCAGGAAACTGAGTTGGGGTATTTGATGCAGTGCCACAAATGGCTTCCTAGAATGTTTTTTTTTGAATGGCCTTCGAAAATCTGACAGTTTTAATAATTTAGATCATAAATTGTGACAAAATCCAGGAAAAAGATGAAAAATGGGCAGTGTTTTGCTATGACTCAGGAAAGAAATCAATCTGGCTGTGCTAACCCAACAGTAAATTAAAAGAGGACTTCTTAGAAACCCACTAGACAGGGTTTGCTTCTTCAGGCTGATGAGTCTCTCCCATCCTCTTTCAATGGACAACTTCATTTGCATTTCAAACCTGAAATACGTAGTGAAAAGTTGGTCCAAACTGGTGAGATTCATCTGAGGTTTTAACTAAAAACCCTGAGGAATTACTTCTTTTTGAGAATCTGATACAGTGCACCAGAGATACTTAAAAGCTAGTGCAGAAATTCAGGAGAGCTGGTACAGGCTGGTAAAGCCAATGCCGCTGGCATTCCAGATTGTGAACAAAATACAAAGCATGACCAGGCTCTTCATCGTTTCAAGCTCTGGTGGGAAATGCTTGCACAACTCAACCCTCAAGACAACGTCTGGCAATTGCACACTGATGTCTTCTTTAGGCCAAATTAAACCCTTGTGGAAGGTGATAGAGCTGAATGTTTCCCAAGATTTCTCTCTGGTTAAATTATATCCTATTAAAACTGCTTCTAATGAGGATGCTCTTTCTTTTCTCCTTTTGGCTTTGCTTTCTGAAGAAAATGGGAGCTATTAAAAAAGCATTTTATTTGTCTGCAATTAAGGAGTCAACTACAGCCTTTGAAAGGTTTCCACCAAAGGCAGGAAAGCAGTCCTGCAGGTGGGAGCTTCAGAGGGAAGGAGCAGGTTGAGGTCTGTGGGCTGAGAACATACTCACTCTACACAGGTATGACCTCTGCTTCTGGAAAACCATGCAAGTACCATGAAAAACGCCTTGTCTGGTCTCACTATAAACACCTACTCGACACTGGATTCACGGAAATGTTCCCTGTACCCCAATACCAGAATCCAGTGACAGCTTACACTTACAGTGAGGATTCGCTGCAAGGTGATGAGTGATGTGGTGCAGGGCAGTGTTGTCCAGCTGCCTGTGCTGACAAAATACTCACTTTGTAGCCTCTCACTTCTGACTCGTTGTCCAGCGCTTTCACTTGGTCCCAGTTCAGTATGATCTTGGAGTCAGATGAATTCCATATGATGTTTCCAGGTGGCTGACTTGGTGCTATATAAAAATATAGATAGCACTGTATTACTAAGGAGCACCGTTTTCCAGTTGGGTCCCTCCCATTAAGGCTTCCACCACCATTGCTGAGCATCCCCAGAGTCCTGTCACTCTGGAAAGCTGATGAGCTGTTTCACTGCTCTGTGTCCTCAAGGTCATGGAGGTGTGACACAACACAGTGCTCTAAATGAAAAAGGATTCAGTCAGTTGCTCAACATGCCTGAGACCAGAAGAAAAAAGCCCTCTTGAACGGTGAGATAAATATTTAATTTTCCTGCACAGCTGTGATTCAGTTTTGCATGCTCTGCTTACTTAACACAGGGAAGAGCCTCGCAAAAAATAAAAGAAGGCTGCACAAAACCCCAGCAAAGAAAAGTCTGACAGCTCCTTCAGACTCAACAAAGCCTGAAAATGAGAGAGGGAAGCACTGGCAGAAACCCTCCCAGGCAAGAGCCTCCCATCCTTGCAGACACTCACGTGGCTTTTTGGTTGTGACATTGACTGTGGCACTGGAGGGGCCGGTCCCAGCTGTGTTGTATGCCCTGACTGCCAAGTGATACAGCGCATTGCCTCTCAGGTTGCTGACTTTTGTAGACGTTTGATTGCCAACCGTCCGAATCCTTTTTGCGTTCTCTTCCTTTTCATCGTGTCTCCAACATCTGACCTGAGAAGCGGAGCAGTTACATGTGTCTACCTCCAGCTATGGGCTGACAGAACCTGGTCGTTTCCAGCATTAACTCCGGTAACACTGCCCAAAGTGCAAGTGCCACAGGGACAGATCCTGCACCCTGCTACAATCCCTTCTTGGTCCTTGCTAGAAACATCAGCCTGGCTGCAGTGCTCCCTCCCTAGGACATCAGACGCTGCCTGGCCATGGAAGCACTTTCAAGCAGGTTTCTCTCAGTAAGCTCTGCTCTCAATTTTCAGCCAGATCACACACAGAAAGATGTACAATTATTTACCATGTGAGAGAAATCTCCACATATTCAAGAAAGAAAAGGAAGCAAATACCCCACAGGAACCCACATGCCCTATGGCTGGCATGAGCAGCACTGCAATGGCTGCCCGTGATGCATCTGTTTCCCCTTAAGGCTTAGTACTGAAAGGATGCTGTGTTGTGTTTCCATACCTCATATCCCTGTATTCTTCCTTTGTGCTGGTTCTCCCAAGGGGGAGCCCAAGAAACTTCAACATCTGAGGCAGAAAGACTTCTGGCCAAGACAGTGGTTGGGGGTCTCGCTGGCTCTGCATAAGAAGAGTTAAAAATAAAATACAGAGTTTTCACTTTTATGTTCAATTAGTCTCAGACTTCAAGGGATTTATTTTCTTTATTGCATGAGAAAAGAAGCATGTGACTGAAACAAACTTCCACATTTCAAAACAATGGCCTGTCAGCCTGTGCCAGACAGCATCGCTCCTCTACCTAAAAAATAATAAGATGTCATTACTAAACTCAACCCAGGATACCATGTACTGTAATTAGGACAAGAGGGAACATTTTCTAATCAGTGGACATTAATTCATACTAAATCTCAGCGGAATTCTTTCCAGATTACATATTACTTTTCCATTAATATCAAAAGATTTCATTACGATTAATGTTATTTTAATGACTATGAAAAGAATTAATCACGGCTCACCATTTATTATAAATCAGAGCAAGGATTAGGTATCAAAGGATATGTCAAGGTGGATACAAAACCCTTTCAGACCCAGTCAACCCCCCCATGCCTACTGGCAGGGAGGAGGGAGAGGCGGTGGGGTGGGCTCCTGGCTCTACCTTCTTCTGCTGAATAGACGACGGTCACGGGGCTGAACGACCCTTCCCCCTTGTTGTTGTAGACCCCCACTTTAACTTCGTAGGGGGAGAAGGGCGGCAAGGTCTCGTTGCGGAAGACATATCTGGCAGCATCTGGGGAGGCCACGACTGTCTGCATCCAGCTGATAGTGCCGAAGGGGCGGAAGGCCACCACGTACCCGAAGCCGCCTCCGTTCTGCAGCTCCTCAGGCACTGTCTGTGGGCAGACAGACCATGGGAGACTGTCAGCAATGTCATGCACTTATGTCCCTGCCTGCATGCTGCCTATTGCCTCTGCATCCTTCTAAAGCTACTGTTCTAAACAGAGCATTAGAGATGGGAGGTGGCTGGAGTCCTACTTTGCATCTACCCTGAATTCATCCCATCCTGTCTGTGCCTTGTTGCTCTGAAAGCTCCCTCTAGTCAGGGGGGAAAGCGGCACCTCAAGAAGAACACTTCACCTAAGATTTAACTCACCTTTGTAGGTGCCCACCTTCCTGACTAGGTGGAGCCCCCAGTAACAATGTCAGTAATTCCGAGCACTGCAATGACTGAAGGTCTGAGGTTTGTTGGGGTGAACCAAGCACATGGTTCCTGCTTTCCCAATACATGTACAGCTGCTCTCACATCTTTGGAATCACACACAAAGCCCTGAAAAACATATCTTCACAATGTCCCAGACAGCATGGGGCTGGTGACCCCTCACTGGCCTGTTGCCACACAGTGACCCAGACCAGGCCAACCAACTATCCACATCCTGTGTGACATGACCTGTTAATAGACCGTGATGGCAGGGAGTGACTTGTAACAAACATGATGGAGAAAGGCAGGTAAGTGCTAGGTAACAGCTAGAAGAAACAACCCGTCACCTCCTTGTCACTTCTGGACACACTGACACTTCCTACGTCCAGATTTGCAGCTCCCTAAAAGCTGCGTCAAAACCCAAATCTTAATATATTAAACTAATCTGTAATTGTGGGCCCCTCTCCCACAGATGCCCATGGTGCTTAAGCACATACAGGGGTTACTTTTGGGTGGCTTCTTATTACTCTGTATTGAAAGGCCTGAAAAATACACCAGAACATGAAGAAAAGGCCTCTGGACCTTTAAAAGACTAAACTGGCTGTTCTATCAAAATACAAATTATATTTTGTGCAAATTACATCTCAAATCAATGGCTGATGTTCTTGCCATGTGTGTTTTTGAAACATATTGCAGTATCTTTAGGAGACACAGCATAGCTAATTAGTCCAACAGAGGAGGAAATTTAGCACATTGAGCTGTGTGGTAAGGACAAAATCCCATTTATAGTTTTTTAATAACCTTAAAAATATCTCTGGCGATTCATTCTGCCAGCTTGGTCAGAAATAGTGCTAAGTGGAAGTGTTAGCATGTCTAGTGAAGTTCATTATTAGGAAAAATATGCCAGCTGCATCCCATCGTAACATGAAAATATGAGCAGACAAATGACTAAAGTTCTAACCCTGGCTGCCTTAAGGAATATTAAACATTTTTCATCTCTGTATCTCCTCTTGCTGGCTTTCATTAGCAGCAGTGAAAGCCAGCATTCAATACACTGTGCTCTTAACTATTTGCTGCCTTATATCCCAGCGCAGGGATGAAGCCGGGGAGCCAGCCACAACAATTCTCAACCGGGTCAGGAGGTGCCACGCCTGGCCTCACAAACTCTGTTTTATCCCTCAGGTGGTTTCTGCCCTTCTGTGTTTTGCCATATGAGTACAGATGTGCTTAGAGTTGGGGAGCTGAGCTCATGTTAAAGCAACGATGTGTTCCCTGTGGTCCCCTGCACAGCACTTCTCTGCTGGCTTCCCTGCACAGGAGCCTGGGGAAAGGAAGTGGTTTAGCTCAATTTTAATAGCTCTGCTATTTTTATCACACGGTCTGGGCTTTTTTACTGCAAGCTATTTGAAATCTACAGAAGCTTCACTGGTGCAGGGTGAAAAGGTGCATGTAGGTTAGGACCATATTAATGTCTGTCTTGGTTTGGACTCCACTTACCTCCCAAGTAATGACCAGCTCAGACTTGCTCCCTCCACCGCCACTGACATTAGCTGGGGTCACTTCAGGAACTGCAAAAAAGATGCAGAAGATGGATGTGGCAACTTTGAAACCAGAAAAGCGCATTGAAATGGAACAGACCTATGCAGCAACAGGACTTTGCTGGCCTGCCCCTGCTGGGTAACAGAAATACTATTAGGAAATGGCTAATTTGCCATGGCAAACAGCACATTAAAAGTATGTCAATAATAGTATATTAAAAATGTGCCAAATTAACTTGTGTATTCAGTCACTAATTGTTTAGTTTAAACATTTATCTTCCATGAAAAAGGGCTTTTGTTTATTTCCCTATTTCATATTCTGTTCTGCTACAGGCTAAAGAAGAACAAAGAAGCCACTTACCAGGAGTTTCTCATAACCTAGACACATATCCCTGCAACCACATGCTGAGTCCATGCCTTGCCTTGATCTCTTTCTCCCAGATCAGAAGACAGGGACAGCATAAAGGAGCATTAAAACTCTCGCAGTTATGCTGTGCCTGCAGCAGCCTGCAGACACTGTGTGGTTCTAAGAGGTATTGGTGTCCTGAGACAGACCTTCAGTAAATTCCTGAAATAATCCAACCCATAGGGCAGCGCATGATGGTTGCTCCAACACTGATGACCCACAGTGTGATGTCCAAGTTACTCCAAGAACCAGAGAAGCCCCCAGCATCGCTGGACTGCTGACTCTCCAGTTGTGAAGCTCAAACTCCTACTCACTGTGTTGTAGTCTGTGTTCCAGAGCTTCTTAGCTATTAAGGTTGAAAAGGACCTTAAGATCATCTAGTTCCGCTCCCCTTCCATGGGCAGGGACACATCCCACTAGACCACATTGCTCAAGGCTCTGTCCAACCTGGTCTTGAACACTGCCAGGGATGGAGCGTTCACCTCTTCTTTGGGCAACCCGTTGCAGTGCCTCACCACCCTCACAGTAAAGAACTTCTTCCTTATATCTAACCTGAACTTCCCCTGTTTAACTGTAAACCCGTTACTCCTTGTTCTATTGCTGTAGTCCCTGACGAAGACTCCCTGTTGCCTTCCGTCACATCGATCATGGGAAACCAGAGGGACTGCTCTCAGAGTTCATGTCTCTCATCAGTTGACACTGGGCAGCATTTTCCAAAAAAATTGCCCAAATACCTTTTTTGAAAATCACTGCTTTCTGCAGGAAAAGGACATGAAGTCTTCCTATACTCCAGGAGTCATGAAATGAGCAAAAGAGCCCATCAGGAGCTCCACAACTTCCCTTTCCTGGTCTGTGCACACAAATAACATGCCATGAGGGAGGACTAAAATGGGCACAGAAAGCACTCCTCAGCTTCTTCCAGTGCAACACATCCATTAGCACTGATGTGCATTTATTTGACAAGATTTAACTCAGTTGCCCACCACTACTTACGAGCTTCTTCAGTTCTTCTCTTCTCTGAAGGTCTGCTGGGCTCTCCAATCCCAATCAGGTTGGCAGCTACTACTCGAAATTCATACTCAACCCAAGGGTTCAGGCCCACCACTGTCGCTGTGAATGTCCTGCCATCGATGATCTCTGGAACTGGGAGACAAACATGGGTCAGGAATACAATGAAACCCACTAAAAGTATTAAAGATGCTGTGGAAAGGTCATGCATATCCAATACCCTTAAAAGTGAGGGATTAATGTAAATACAAAGTGAATAAGGATTGATAACATTTTATCTTTTTGTTTCTAAAATTTTTTTTAACTGCAAAGAAGCAGCAGCATTAAAACATGTGCTTTTAGCACAGAAATTCCTGCTATTAAAGAGTTTCTCCTAAATTGCCACTTTCCGAAAACAAGATGTCAAGACAACAGGTTTAAAGGGGTTTTATTTTTCTCTTTTTAAAACACACTGTTCCGTCTAGTTAATGGCCACTGGAACAAAATTAACCTCTGACGGAATGAGCAATTACATCATGAGATTTTTCCCTCTATCAGGAAAATAATTCTACTTAAAGATAGGCCAGATGACACAGTCTGTCCCTGAGGAATGTCTTTATAGACTACAATTACTGTTGTATATCTCCAGAGCGGCAACAAAAGATAGGAATTCATTCTATTTTCCCTTAAACATTCATGAGAAAAGTGGATGAGTAATAGCACTAACTGGACCCTAAATCTTTGGGTTGCCAAACTGGAAACTAGTTAATAAGACCAGTGCCCGGCAGCCAGGTAAATTACTTTTCACTTCAGGGTGCAGAGCTGCTGCACTCAGCCCATGCGTGGGTCCCAAGGGATGTTGTCCATCGGTGGAGTTCTTCAGGGGCCAGGCAATGAACATACCTGTGCTCACTGCTTGCCATCCCACTGAGAAGGGGGTCCTTGCTTGCACAACATACATTGTAATAGGGCTGTGGTTGTCTGCTCCTGGCCTCCAGGACAGCTGAGCAGTGGTATCAGTGACTTCATCTATTGTCACAGCTTCTGGTGGACCTGGGGGACCTGTTGGAAGAATTACAGGAGATGGGTGCTCAAGGCTTCGCAGTGACTTGAGGAAGGAGCACTATGGTCTTCCTCCCTTACTCAGGACAGCAGTAACCGAGTCCCTGCAGGAGTTTAGCATGGCCCCAAATGTGGTTTAGCAGATGCCTAGATTTGAAGGCACAGGGGAAATACACAGACTCAGAGATTGCCGGTTTCACTGGCAGCCCCCAGGTGCTCTGCGTGTGCCAAGCCCCATGGTACACCTGAGCTACCACACAGAGCAAGGCACTCATTGCAGTGCTTGGGATCAGCTCTGCTGCCTCACATCTGCTGCTTTAGGACTGGCCAATATACAAGCATGATTTTTGGCTGCAGCCTGGATCCGCTCAGAGGCTGGAGAAGAGTAAAGGATGCCTGTTGGTAGCATCAAGTCTGAGTAGGGACCAGTATTTTCTGCTCTGCTGCTGGGTTCTTTCTTAACAGTGAAGCATGTGGGATGCACACAGGAGAAAGTACTCCTCTCCTTTATCATATAGCCATTGCTGTCAGCAGAGGTACCTGAGGTGAAGTCTCTCCGCAAAAGCACCATCTCAAGCAGCAAACTCTCCTCTTGCAACTCACTCTGTGGACTAAAATTATTCTCATATGATATTCAGATTGCTGGGTGTGTTTAAATACCTAAAATAACCCCAAAACCTTCCAGTATCCTGCCTTTAAAATGAAAGTTTCAGCAGGTTTAGCCAGATCTAATTTCTCAGAAATTAAAATGTTGAATTCTTTTGCTGGGGGGAGCAGCCACACCACACAGCCTCACAGAGCAGTCAGCTTCCTCGGTCCTGCACTGCAAGTTATACCAGAGAAATGAAATTTCATTGTATCCTTCACAAATTAATCCCACTGCTTTCAAAGGCTGAAACAACCTGTCTTCACTTCATGTCTTGGAATAGCCATGGTTATTCCCCACATTTCAGAATATACTTCTTTGCAGGGTACAGGCTACAATAGGGCAAGAGAGGGAAAAATTACCAGTTACTGATTTAGCGAATGTTTCAGGGCTGCTGACAGACATGTGCTTCTGCTCTGATGGTGTGATAAAATTCACCCTGAACAAGTGGGCTGATCTGTGCGTACCAGTGCCAGGGGTTACTTCTGTATATTCTAGTTTGATATTCCCTGACATAAATAATTAATTTTTATTCCAGCATCTAATCTCTTATTAATTTGACATAACTCCAATATTTAAAAAACTTCTAAAACTTATTCAGAAAGATCCATTTATGCACCAGCTATTCACCCCTTCTCCAGTCTCACAGCCTCGGAATACTTCCTAACTTTCATGCAGATGCTGAGATGATACAGCGCAACTCTCAGCACAGCCATGGGACCACTGGCCTAGATGGATATGTCCCCATTGATGTTTTCAGGGAGTGACAAAATCAGTATTTTTACCATCATAAAGGGTCATTTTCTTGTGAGAATGCAATGTTCCTCCTGCTTGTTTACAGAGGCAGCAGCAAGGAAATTACCCAACAGAGGTGCCTGGCAGCAGGCTGTTTTGAAATGGTTGTGCAAAATGACAGAAAATTAATCTGAAATCATGCTGCAGCAAAAACTGAGAGTCAGTGTAACAGGGAGCAACCTCCTGGGGAGGAAAGCCACGGCTTCACTGCCTCCAGGGAGCCAGTGCTTTGTGTAGCACATGGCTAAGAACGTCTGTGTTCATGCTCCTATGGGAAAACATGGTGGAAAGCATAATAGTACTATGAGGATAACAGAACACCCAGCTAGAGACAAGGGCACATTTCTCAATGGAAGTTCAGTTCTAATCTTGCACATTTTGCTCTGGCACAGCTGATAAAGAGAGAATTTCTTACTTCTTTTTCATACTCTCCTCCTTTCACTGAGCTGCCTGAGAACTTGTGTTACATGGAGAATGTGCAAACTATGATTTTGCTGGGGCCTATGATAACTGAGGGTAGCAGGTACCGAGCAGCACCAAAGTTTGCTTTCCTCAGAGTTAACGAGCAGAAAAATACATACCATATTTATTGTAAGGATATAGACTCAGGTTAACTAATTGCATCTCTGTTAAAGTCATACTTACAGATCACCTGTGTAGGGTAGTGAATAGATCTTAAAATATCACTGGTTACTAAATCACATTTATGCTAGGAAAGGAACAAAATTGCTTGGCAGAAATGCAGTGAATAAGCTGGATACTGTTTCTACTGTGCAGTTCATCAAATAAACGAGCTCGGTGCAAGTTTTGCATTCAGGACACGAACATGTACTAGCGTGTTTATCTGTGTTGTGTGTCTGTTCTATAAGTATGTATGAAAGCATCTTTATATGCACCGTTTGAAAACATATTGTGAACCCCAGTGTGTACTTAGAGCTTATTTCTGAGACTAATTACAAGGTGCTGGGATCCCAATGAATATCTTCAAGCCCAGGAATTGTCTTACCAGCAGTAGAAGGTAGGGAAAAAAAAAACAAAAAGAAATTTTACAACAACAACAGTAACAAAATTCAAATACCTCTTACAATCAGGTCTGCAGCAGCCGATAGCTTGTCCACACTTGTTTGCACCATGCAGACGTATTTTCCAGCATGCTTCAGCTGGATGCTTCTGATCATCAAATCACCAGCTGAATCCTGCTGATAAAGTAGGGAAAAGTGGTTACAATTACTTTTTAATGAGCGCTAAACATCATTATCACATGAAGGACACTGTGACTAATGGATTTACTTTACACTGGCTGATGAAAACATTAGTAATGCAAGCCGTGGCCTATTAAAATTATGTGTGTCTGCCTTGAAGGTAAGAGCGGGAGCGTTTCTAAAATTATGGCTCTGACAAGGGGCAGGGGAGCCTGGTTTGGGTCCGTTAAGCAGTTTCCCCATTAAAACAATGTGACAAAGCTTATGTAGGACAGGTTCGCTCTGATTCCTTTTTTATCTCTGGATATTCAATTTATAGCCTCTCTGGTATTCACATACGCAAGTTGTGTCTACATCTATTTCGTAAGAGAAAACCAGCCCAAATTATGAGACATCTGCAATAGTTTCATGGCTTTGTACTACAGCCAGCATTTTGATTGCCCGGCGTTTTTGTGCTAAAGATCACAAGAACAGCACTCTCTGAGGAAATCTTGTATCACCTAACGGCGGTAATTTGTTTTCCAAACGCCACGTGCATGTCTGATTAACGGCTGAATAGAACTAATTAGGTTTCTGTATGTATAGGAAGCTGAAAACTCTCTCTAAATTCTTCTCCAGACACAAAGCATTCAATACATTAGAAATCTCAGGGTACCCTTGTGATTGTGGCTTTCTAACTAAAGAATATTAATAAAGTTTGTAATTTTAGCTTTCAGGCCAATCAGGCGCAGCCGCCAGAAAAATCTGTTGCTGCTGATGTGCGCCATAGGCATCAGTCTTCAAGTGCATCTTTCAATGATTTTTGTAGGGATAACAGCAAGGCTTGTAGATTGTATTTCCTTTTCCTTTCAGCATCAAATTTCACTCCTGACAAATGTAAACATGGACTGCCAGGCTGCTTAGACCCAGCAGAGCATGTGTCTCTATAAAACATCCCTCAGAGCAACATGCAAAACCTCTTCCAGTTTTCTACCTCTAGCAGAGAAAATCAAGCAGGGAGGGACCATCACGGACACCCTTACCTTGCTGTGGGCTCTCCCGTCCTAAACCTCCCTGGAGAGACAGAAAATGGCAACTGATGCAAGCATATTTTCCCTTCTCTTAACGATGGAAAGTAATACCTACCTTCACTACCTTTTCTTCCCTATACCTGCCACTTGATCGTGGTCTTGAGCTACCGCAGTGGCCAGGGCTGTACTTAGTGGGCAGTCTAACCATCATTTCACACCTGACTCTTCTCCAAGCTATCAGATTCCCATGAACACAGAATCATAGAATCAACTAGGTTGGAAAAGACCTTTAAGATCATCAAGTCCAACCTTTAAACAAACAATTCTCTGCACATTGCACAAGTTTGCACTGTCAGTGGGTACTGATGGGCTTTCCCATAAACACACAAACAACCCAAAGATACCAATGTGACATTGCCAGGAAATGTGCATAGATAATACCAAAAAGAAATGGCATCTCTGATGACTGGTGATACACCTGGATAATGTGGGTTATTTTGTGTAGAGGAAAAATACTTGTTCTAAGCTTGGGGTCACAAGAGGAGGACAGAGATAAACATGCCAACAAACACTGCCTAAACAAATATATCCTCTGATTTTCCACTATTTTCTGTATAAATAAAAGGTTTCACAATTGCTATATTTTACATTTCTTTTACTGCTACAGCCAGAGAAAAGCAATTATGGAATACTTCCTTGAATTAAAAGGCATTTTGTTTTGCAATGAGAAAACATATTACAGGTCTTCTGACATACATTCCACTGCAACGTCAACACATTGTTCAAGTGAGCAGATTTAAGTCATGTCATTAAGAAATCATAACAATTCTACACTAACTATAATGAAGTAGTATACTGGTAATGTTCATCATCTCAGTCTATAAAACACAAGAGAACATCTACTATTAACTTAGGCAAGTTCATTGCTTGTATTAGTAGCTCTTTTCTATGTTCCTTACTTTTATTACTGTAAGGAGATTGCTTTAGTATTAATACTTACCCCTCCAACTCTTTCAAAATGATCCCCATCTTTTTCAAAGTCAATCAGGTGTCCATTAAATGACCAGGTAAACATGATATCTAGTGAGTGATCATGAGATACCTGACAAGGCAAGACAATGCTTTCTCCAACAGTGACATCCATGCTGAAAGGTGACACCATAACCCTGGTTGGATCTACAAAAAACAAAGGAAAAAAAAGGGGGAAAAAAGCATTAATCCTGTCCTCCTGAGACATGGAGGGACCTGCAGAGCTGAAGAAGATGCTAAGCGGTCTACCACAACTGCAGCACCACCACCAGAGTGTGAAAAATTTGCAGTGATCACTTAGGAAGATCCTTAATGCAATAAGCGGACAATCATATCTCTGACTTTATCTTCCAATACCTTTCTCTATTTATTGGACTGAATTACTATCAATGAATCCTCTTTTAGCCACCATCCTGATGAACAAGGAGAAAAGAAAAGGCTGGAAAAGACTGCAGCAGGTCTGAAAGGTTTGGTTAAAATGTTTTTAAAAGCTTGGAGATCAGAGATGATTTTATTTGAATCTTCTTACTTCGAGGATTGGTTTCACAGTCATACATTGCTCACCACGGTTATAAAAAAAACCCCTATTTTGTTGTTCCTAAGTTAGATACTGCCTTAAGAAAACTGTTTCAATGTAAAATCTCCAAAATTGGAATGAAGAAGGACATATTAAAAACATGAGTGATATCTGCTCAGATCCGGAAAGGGAAAGATAAGACTAATAATACTGTTTTATGTTATGATTATTGAAAACTCAGTGCTTGTTTAGAATACTGACTGCGTTCTCTGGAGGATGGTTTTATGTTGTAAATCCAGGTAGGTTTTTTTGTGTGAGGAGGGCCCACAAAAAGTATAAATATAAACAACAAGTGATACCAACCAAACCTTTCACACCATGGAAACCAAAACTCTGGACGCCAATAAACCAAATCCTGTAGTAATGTCAGACAGAGGGGTGTTGGGCTAATACTTGGCTCTGGGTGTAGTAGCTCCTCTGACCGACATACAGCCCCATCTGGGTCAGTCAGCAGGTCAGATTGACTCACTTTTTAGGACCTCTGTGGTCTTACATGGGATGTCACTGACCTGTTGAACAAGAGCTAAGCAAGGATTTTGGGGAAGTGAAGCAGAGGAAAGGTGAGAACGGGTGTTGTCCTAAACACAACATTACCAAAGGAAATCCCCCAAACCTGCAGGTATCTGTGATGTAGCGAGTTCTGTCTGTTAAATATGGGTAGCAGCACGTACTAGCTCCACCTTGGGCTTCAGGACTAATCTCTTACTCACAGCTAGAGTTCTATGGATCCTTTACCACTGGTTTAATTTTCTATTTTTCACTTTAGCCCTCCATTACAAGCAAAATGGTGGCACAGAAAGATGAGCTATGATGCATTATGCAGACTTGAGCTCCTCATCTGTGCCTGTGAATTCCTCCTGCCTCTAAAGTTAACATTTCTCTTTCATTTCTGTTGACAAAAATGCAGTAATTTTTTTCTACAGGGTCTCAGAGGAAATGAAAAGGAGAAAAAATACGGCTTAACAATGAGACCAAAAGTCTGAAAATCATATACAGATACATATTTTTGCTTATTCCAAAAGTCTATTCTGCACAGCTGTCATACTAAAATACTGCAAGTATTATTCATTCCCTCGTATATGAATCCAAAATCCTAACTACTTCTTCCAGAGACTACTGGCTGACTGCTTAATTCTCTGCTAAAATAATAAGGATACAGCAACAGAGATATACACTGGGCAGAACTACTCACCCAAATTCAGGGGGTGCGAAGCTGTTCCTTACCAAAAGTGTACAGGAGGCGCTGAACAAGATTTCATTGCTGTCTCTATAGGCTTCAGATCAAGTCTTCAGGGACTTGGACAAATTTAATTCATTTATATTTTGGTTTTGCTTCTAACAAAAAAGAGTATCTCTTAGCTGAACCACAGCAAGTGTTATGAGGCTTAACTAATTAACACAAGTAAAGCATCTGAAATTTCTCTGGTATAAGCACTGTAACTGCACATTACTAAATTAATGTTTAATTGTTGCCTAGATTTATGACACTGTTTTTGTATAACTGAGTTATCAGGATTTTACAGTCACTTAGGTCTGCTACTCCTGACACTCAGGAAGATCTGGAGCATCCCAAGCTCATGATGTGACAGAAATGCCCGCACCTGCAGTGGGGTTCAGGCATGGAATCACTTACTGAAATTCCTTTCAGCATCAGAAGTTCATCCTCTGTGCTGCTCAAAGCCTGTATGAAATATTTATGAAGGACTTGACTCTGAGATGAAATGGGTGCCTCCCACAAAGCCCTAAGCTCTCCCACAAGTCCCACAATGATCCGTGTAAGCTGTGGTCCTTAACAAGTGGCAGCGCCGAGATTTTGCTATAGCTGACCCTGACATCCACAGCATCCTCTGCAAGAAGTCCACACTGTAAATCTGAATCTCCCTGCTGCAATGCATACAGTTTATAAACGTATAAAGAGTGAAACCTGGGTGTGTGCTTAAGCTCTGGTTTCCAGAGCAGTTTAGCACAGCTCCTGTGGATGTCATAGGAACTGCTAGTGCCTGGTGATTGTGAAAATCAGGCACCCAGGTTTCAATCCAGTCATGTCAAGAAGCATTGCAACCTAATAACTGAACATACTGGGTTAAGGGAATGGCTGATACAGCAGGGTGACAAACGACGTGCAGGGAGAGGGCTCTGACCCAAGCCATTCTCAGCAGGAGTGCAAGCCCCAGCAAGGCACTTTACAAATCACCCCAAGGAGAATGCTTACCCATCTCTTCTCAAGGACTGGGAGAGCTGAAAACCAAAAACATCCCCTCCCCCCCTTTAATAACCCTAGCAGAGCAGCAAGTGGAAAATGTTATTCAGAAGCCAATTGAGGGCAGCCGAGTGCAGGCACACCTTGGTGATACACAGCCAAGTGGTAATCAAAATTATTAGATTTGCACTTTCAAAAGCTGTAACATCAGGCACTTTTTAAATTATGGTGAGTGCTTTAATGATACCAAAATGTTGGTCAGCATCCAAGTCAAAAATAAATAAATAAAATAGGATTTTTTTTTTTTCTGAGCTAGCTACTCATTTATTTATCATCCACTTGCAAGGCAAGAGAGGCAATGTAGGGAGACAAGAGTCTATGGGAGAGCTGATCTTAATGCTCTGTTACTGTCCTGTCCTCTCTAAGTACAGGTTATTTTCCTTAGATATCCTTCCTTCGTAAGGGCACTACTGCCAAGGGTAACTAATTAAAAGGAATAATTGTGATTTTGGTGATATTTTGAGATGATATTCACTTTCTGGTGCATTTTGAGATAGTTAAAAATAAGGCTGAAAGATTCAGTTGCAGATAAGAGGTTGTAATTACTATTAGTAGCATCACCCCCTTACAGCTGCCTGTAGGTTTCTGAGCCCTCCACAGAGGGAAGCGGTGCCTGGTGCTTCCTAGCTCTCCTGTGGAAAGAAGAAAACCAAGCAAAATTGTTCTGGGTCACTTCTGGGGAAGTTCAGCTGGCATCACTGGGAAGTTTTTAGGAGAGAAATAAGTGAATAGTGCATGGGAGTGGGAACACCCTCAGGGGATGAAAAGACCTCTGTCACCAGGAGGGAAAATAATCTGGTTTTCAGTCTCAAATAGGAAACAGGAAAAAACCACCACAACTACACTACTGTACGTGTACAATTACATGTGCAACTACATGTACAACTACTGTTGTACATGCAAACATATTCAATAGGTGTCCTGTAGGTACAGCAAATGCAGATGTGAGGGGTTTGCATTGGCCTGGGCTTGGCTTTGCTACAGAGAAAGAAGAGACCTGTCCCGAAAAACACTGACAAGGCAGGAGCTCAGCAGGGCTTATGGCCAGTGTTGGCATGTAAACTCTGCAGACTGGTTAGTGCTTGTCTGTAGGTGTCACTGAAGGCTCAGGGAAGCAGGAAAGCTCCCTCAGTCTTCCTTTCATACCCGCATTTTCAAGAGCACACTTTCTGTGTGTGGAAATGGCACTCTTTCATTTTACATGCAGTTTTCCTTGCATGCCAGCCAGGCTGGCAGCTCACAGCTTGCAGCTCGTTGTCAGAGCCAAGATGGTTTGAGCAGTGCGAGAGCTCATGGGGATGGTCCTCAGCTGGAGTAAACCAGCATGGCTACACCAGGATAGCACTGGACACCACTGTCATCCATAGCAGGGTGCTCTGAGGCTATCTCAGCTTTTGTTACCTACTTGTGCCCTGCATTACATCCCCTAGTTTTATCGCTACTGCATATTGCAGACAATTTGGTGTATTTCTGACTGATGGAATGTATTTGGTTTATGTTACAAGAGATTTTAATAAAGTTTTCCCACTAGCTTTCAGTATATGTTAGAAGAATCAGAGCTGAGAAGCGCTTCCCTTCTGAAGAGAAGCTGTAATTGCTTCGCTTTTATCCCCCACCCCCTGCTAAAGGGAGCCTGTCATTAGCTGTTAGTGCCGCCTGCGTTTTGCGTCTCATTTTGGGAAGCTGTGATGCAACTCTGAGCTGCAAACCAGCAGGCTGCAGACATCGCGGGTACGGTCTGAGGGTAACAATTATCCAATCTGAAAAGAAACCATCCCACCCTGATTTTCTATTGATTGCGTGTCCATTAGGAGGGATTACTTGTTTAGGGTAAACAGCTTTGCATCGCTGCGTTTGCTTGTTGTAGCTCACGCAGTGCAATGTTGTGTCATATTGATCTGGAGGACATGACACAGTGGGACACAATCTACAGTGGCACGACATAAGTGACATAAAATGAATCAGGGGCTGACAGTCAGAGATAATGCTTTTTTTTAGGTCAGTCCAGAGCATGCGAATTTCTTTTGAATGCTACAAGAGGATCAGGGCAAAGCAAGGAGCGATGTCATATATATTATGCCCATCAGCAAGATTTCAACTGACCGGAGGGATTTTTACACCTAGAGACAGGCAGACCTGTCTGCTTTAGATGGCCACTTGGCATCCTGTTTCTAAATGTGCTCCTTTCCAGTTTGGCTCAGCTGTGAAGGCTGTGTGCTCTGCTCCACAGGGAAGGGATTCAGCAATGCTAATAACTGCAGTGCCTTTCATTTAAGTGCTTAGTAAACAATGAGATATGCTTTGCCAGCC